GCGAAATATCTTTAATTGTTATTTAAATGTTTGAAGAATCATGTGTCACTGCTGTTTTCTGAATTAATCAAACATCAAACATCAAACATTAAATATTAACTTCTTATTTACTGAACTGTTGTATAAAATCATATTTGAACTCGTTATATTCAAGTATATACAAATTCAAGTTCAAGTTCAGTTTATTTATAAAGCACATTTAAAAACAGCCACAGGCCGACCAAAGTTCTGTACAAGTTAGAATAAAATAAAAAATTAAGTACTCTAACAGCAGCAAATCAGTTAAAACAAAACACTCTTATAAGCTAAAAGCAACAGAGAATAAATATGTTTTGACACATGACTTGAACTCAGACAAAGTGGAAGCCGATCTAATATAGAGTGGGAGCTTGTTCCACAGTGTCGGGCTGGCCACTTCAAAGGCTCGGTTACCCCTTGTTTTTAGCTGGATTTTGGGTAATCTGAAGGAGGAGCTTATCTTTGGATCCAAGGCCTCTGGTGGGAGAGTAGGGGTGAAGTAGATCGGACAAATAAGAAGGTGCTAAATCATTTAATGATTTATATACTAGTAATACAATTTTAAACTCAATTCTAAAAATAATCGGAAGCCAGTGAAGGGGGGTATTTCCTCTTTCCCTTTAGGAATCTTGCCGCAGCATTTTGAATGACCGGCAAGCATGCCATTTGGGACTTAGATATACCAAAATAAAGGGAATTGCAATAATCCAGGTGAGAGGTAATAAGATCATGGATAGCAATCTCCAAGGAGCGCTTAGTTAGGGATGCACCGAAATGAAAATTCTTGGCCGAACACTGGGCCGATTATGTTTTTTTGTGGGGGGTTTTTCTTCGCCATTGCATAAATTAAATAGCCAAAATGTGCTTTTTACTGTTTTGTCTTGCTTTTCAAAGAAAAAAAAAACTATTACAAAACAACAATTTAAAAATATTTAACACTGAACATTTTTAACATTCTAGCAGACACTATACCAACAAAGCACAATTTAGCTTAAAATGAATAAGTTAGTAAAATAGTATTTTTTGGCCATCAGATCCTCTTCTTGAATTAGGCATGTATTTTTTACTGTACAATTAAAAGCAGCCTTGCTGAGAAGAGACTTCTTTTAAAACATTAGAAAATATTACAGATCTTAATTTTAACATTTTATTGTTATAATTAATGTATTAACAGAGCTGTTTTAATGATTATTATCATTATTATTGGCTTACATTTTATTTTATTTTACAGAGCAACAGTAAAATTACAATACTAACATTTATGAACGTTGATAGAGTTCTTGCTTTTTCTCAACTTTTATTTTGGCAGAAACGCGCAGGAGACTTCAATGCTTTCTTTTTGTTGACAACAGCAGATTTATAAATAAGTCTCAGTACGAATACGTTGTACGTATCGCATTGTCACATGCCTTGTAAAAATTCATAAAAATGTGACTAAGCAACGGACGAGAGCAGATTTTCCTCGCGCTTTGGACTTTGAACCCTGGTTAACAAGCAGATCTGCTGCGAGCTCGTGCAGCGCTGTCAGAATACATGCGATGCGCGCGTGTATTAGAAAACATAACGTTCTGCAGTTTATTTACTAATTGTTTAAGGCCATTTCGCGATTTCAATCATCATACAGTAAACCAGCAACAATCACCCCTTCCTCTTCTCATCGAAGACATGCCCTGCAGCACTAAACAATCTCTCGCTGTCGGTGCTTGTAATGATTTTTGCGTCTTTCTCGGACAGTTTAAATGCTTCCACACTGCTGACATGTGTGTTGCATTAAAGAGTGCGCACCTCTCACTCTGCGCTGGTTGCCATCGTGTCATATCATTGTTCAGTACAATTTATTCGGTCTTTTCGCTTATTTTTGGTTGCCGAACATTCGGTGCATCCTTAGAAGAAAGGATTTGATTTTTGATAGAGAACGAAGAGAGAAAAGGCTGGACCCAATGACCGCGCTAATCTGCTTGTCAAATTTGAGGCAACCATCTACCATCACACCTAGATTCTGTACTTGGGGAGAGATTAATTGATTTTGATTCAAAAATTAACGTAGTTTAAATTAACGATCAAATAATCATTAACCTTAATGCTGCAAAATGCGTCTATTGCAGCGGCACGCAGTCAGGCATGACAGGATGTGCAAAAGCCACTCAAAAATTTTTTTCGCTTTCTCACCCGAATTAAAGGGTGTTTAGTCTGAATAAAATGCTACACTGTAAAATCTAATTAGTTGGGCTTACATTTCTGTATTAACAAGAAGAAAATTATAGTTACATAAACCCAGTAACTAAAGTTCAAAGTGCCCAACCAAAGGGACTGCTAATCACTATAATGGTGAATTAAAAAAATAAATATTTTAGGAAAATCAATTTATGAAGTTAGCTTATGTGATGTTCTGTCAAATATTTCAGTTGTATTGAGAATTCAACATTCAAGATGACTTTGGGAAACGAGTGAATGCAACTAGTGAAAGATAATTGCAGACATGGAGGAAATGAGTGAAAAGTCTATTAAGACTCGTTTTCTTTTCTTCTTCTGCTGTTGTTATGTTGCACATTAGCAACATATTAGTGCACTGCTGCCTCTCATTGGTTTATTAATGTCATTGGTTCCTTTGTGGCTACTTGAATATTTTAAGTAAGTGTCACTCAAAACAGTAAGTAAATTGTTTTATTTGCCTTGAAAGTAGCTGTAACTTAATAAAACCTAGTAAGTATAACAACTAAGTAAAGATTACTAATTAAATCTAAGTAAGGTAAACTATCGGATTTTACAGTGTAGTAGCAGGATTGTAAAATGAATAGATGTGATAGATGGGATCTCCAACAAACAATTTGATAAAATGAAGAGAGCACGCCGTACGTTCGAGATCATTTTACTTTGTTGACTGTTTCCTATCCCGACACGGAGACCGCTGAACGCGCCTCTTTAAATGGTTTCGTGGTGCTCGTTGTTGTATTTTAAAACACTATTGCAATGTTTTCAACTGACATTATGGCATTTAAAATAAAATGATCCCAAACGTAACTGTGGCGCGTGTGGCTGTGCTGCGCAGTCAGTGAACCGCTTCCATCGGCGCTACTGCAGCAAAACACACTGTTGCTCACATTAAACATGTTTATCTGAGTATTATGCTTAATTTGATCCTGCTGGATCCCGTTCCGGAAAAAGTCAGATTTCGAATTTTTGCGTTCCAGCAGGCCTATTTGTTTTCAAAAATCCGGCATTTACAGTGCATTAGATTGTGACAGTGCATGCGTGCGTGCGTACGAGAGCGCGGGTTTGGATAGTTGTATTTGGAGCTTATTGTTCACGTCTCATTCGGCACAAATCCAAATGTTTCCATACTCGTAATGTATTTGAATGTTAAACTATTATTTATCATGTAAACTAGGCTTGTAACATGCATTTGCATATTGATGGAAAAGATCATCCTCTTCACATGAGCAAAAACGTTCTTAACAGCAGAGTGGACCGGTATACTATGGTCTATTTAAACTGACCAGTGTAACCTTTTATGTTTGGTTTGATAAAGAACAGACTGTGATGTAAGTTTGAATTGCTAGAACATGTGGGGTGTGTGCGCGCGAGGCGCCAGCGCGATGAACAGCTGAAACATTAAAAAACCTCAATTTTTGGAGTAAGATATAATCCGCAAAAGTGTTTACTTTTATTTTTGCACACTCACAATAAAAACATATGATTTGTGCTTTTGTAAAATAAAGCAAACAAACAGAATGCGCATTGTCATCCTTTATTTTCCGTGAATTTGTTTATGGAGCCCACACTTCTGTTTTAAATCTGTTAGCGTAATTATTTAAGTCAGATATATTTCTGTCACAGGTGGTAACGGGCACCGTGGAAAAACCGGGTCTGGGTCCAAATGCAGGTGAAAACCTTTTTATTCCAAACAGAAAGGCCAACAAGGCAAAACAAAAACAGGTCTAGGGACAACGAACACCATTACATACACAATACAGCCCTTAGGATGGGTTAAATGCAGAGCACTAATTCAGAGTATGGGTAAGTATGGGTAACCATACTTGGCCACATGTCACTTCACTTTACTTTTAAAGTTGAAATCACATTAAAAGCTTAATTTGTACATTATGAATGAATGATGATGCATTTATATACTGTCACTCACAGCTGCTCACACGAGTTTTGCTCACGCACACAGCCCAAAATTAAACAGCTTAATCGACCATCGATAGTTTTAATCGATTGCATCTCTTATCGATCATCGATTAATCGTTGACATCCCTAATTCAAGGTCAAAGTGATTCCTTGGCCTGAATTCTGAGGAGTCAAAAACAATGACAAACAGCACTTGTGTGATATTGCTTATTATGATATAAATATGAGGCAAAAACTCATACAGGAGCATTTTTGCCACAATATCTTTAATTTTAGGGCATAACTGCATTTATGGAGTTGTAGCCCTGCATCATATTTGTCAACAGTCAACTGTATATGAAATGTAAGATCGTAAAGATGTACAGGTCTGGGGGCGGACCTGTTATTTTATTTTTAAAATAATAAAAATATTTTAATCGTGTTATTTTTTCATAACTAATTGATTGTTAACGCATTAAACTGACAGTCCAAATTTGAATATTACAAAAAATAAATAAATAAATAAATCCATATTAAGATAAACCAAAATAAAGCGTTAGTTCACCCATAACCTAAAAAGAAAAAAAATCTTTCTAAAGCTACTTTTTGTAATATCTATTTCACGATTTTCTCCTGTAACATAATAATGGCTATAAACAATCTTTTTGGGGTAATTTCTCAGCTTGAGGTGCGATTAGTTGCCACATCGTGTAATTAATTAGATACAAAATTTGAATCAACTGCCAGCCCTGGTGTACTTACATTCAGTTAAGTATGTGTGCTCGCACACTTGCATTAAGTATATTTCTGACCAAAATAATAGCAATTTCACCACAGTGTTGTTCTTTGTTTGTGTATGTGTGTTGACTGACCTTCTGCCACAGGTAGGCCTCTTTGAGAGTGATAATCTCATGTTCTCTGTGCTCTCCCTGCACAGCGCACAGCACACAAATTACCCGCTGGTCCTGTTTACAGTAGAGCGAACCCTCTTGGCCATGCTCCTTACATTTCAGCCTCTCCACTGTCACAGTGTCTCTTTTCGCTGGTTTATGCTCATCATTACTGGTGGCCTCCGCCCCCTCTGCTGCGTTTTCAGACACCTGACAGTCTTTCAGTGGCCCAGGCTCTGCCTGAGGGTCTGGGGTGCTGTACGGCTGGAGTTGGTGACCAGTGCTTTGTGAATGTTTGTCTGCATGGCTGGAGCAGAAGGCAAAGCGACAGAGTGTGCACATCCAAACAGCTGACTGAGGCTCGTCCGGTTCACACGCATCACACGTGCCATCCATCTGTGGCAAATCATCCTCAATAAAGCAGCTGTCCCAGCATCCTCTCGATGCATCCATGGTGGTGGAGGATGGGGATGATAGTGAGAAGCCTAAAAGAGGACAAAGGACAATGCAATAAAATAAGTTGCAGCAACAATAGTAAGTGAAAGTTCAGTCAACTGTAAATGTAGCAACTGTGCTACATTTCTGTGCTTCAATGGGTGTCATTGGTCAAATAAGAATACAAAGGTTTTGGAGCATCTGTGACTCGTGCTGGCAAAATGAGTCGAAACGCGCACTTTCGGTTTTGGTCGAATTTGAGGTTTTCACAAAAACAAGTTCATTAAGCCCTCTTCTAGCGATCCCAGTGCTCCAAATAGTAATTAAACAACCAAAATGATCTTTATTTGTAAGTTTTCTGAGAGGAGTACCTTTCTCTGCTCACTTCTGGATGACTGCTGCTGCTTCTCACCACAAAGCGCAGCATACCAGCTTTGTGAATATTTATATTGAATTCTCGATGACATGAGTCCAAACCAGTGAAATATGATTTTTCATTAGCATTTCAGACCCATGCTAATGAAAACAAAACGATTGCGCTGAGTCGCTTGCTGACATTTGTAAAGTGCGCGCATAAGATGCCCCTGTCCGTGAGCACGCGATCTCCCATATGAAGTACATTATTGCGAAATATGTCTTGGCGAGATTCACACAGACATAATCTGTTATGTCTTACATTCTTACATAAACGTTTAGTTAATGGTTGGGGAAAATCTGATGTGTAACATTATATTTGATCCATGCATTACAGTAGGTCTTAATATAGATCTGTCTCAGTGTTAATCAAACATTAAAAGAAAAGACAGAATCACTCGCTGCTCTTGATTAACCCTTTAAGCCCTGAGGGCATTTTTGCCTCACTGAAGTTGGGCAAAATGGAAAAAATAAATAAAACAGGGATTGAAATTAACTTTTTCACTCACCAGCCAATTTTGCTGATTACTGGCCATTCATAACTTCTACTAGCCAAAAAAATAAAAAAACAAAGAAATAAACCAACAGCTTGAGGCTGTCTACACGGGACGTGACAAAGCGACCATTCTGTGTCAGTACTAGATGTGTGCGATATTGACAAAAAAATCATATATCAATATTTTCTGGGATTTTATCAATAAAGATAAGTAGATGATATTTTGCCGAGTGTGTTATTGTGCTGATATCTTAAGGACTGCTGTGGACAGCTGAGCTGACTCCTAAAATTTGTGATATTCTTAATATTCTGTGTGGTCAGTTCACAGCAGTGATAGAAATGAATCTTTTTCAATAAGTTTAAATAGATTTTTACCTTTTATGGGCATTTTTACCTTTATAAAGCCTTTTTTTCCCTAAAAGAATAATATTTTGAGTCAAATTCTTACATTTAATCAGTCAATTATAATAATAATACATTTAGGCTGTTACTAAACAAATGAAATCAGTATCAATATATATATATATTTTTTTGCAGAAGTTGCATAAGAAGTGGCATTTAGATGTGGTAGTGGTATTTACACATGTTAATGCAGCTTAGAGGGACATGGAATGCTTTAACCTGCAGTTACAAATGCATAAATAATGTTTTGATATTTTAAACATGAAATGTTGAATACTGATATTTGAAATTATTAAAAAAAATTAAAGATACTATACATGTGAAATTAAAACCTATTATACATGTAAAAATGTTAAGTGAGTCATTGTGATTGAACCGAATCATTTAAACGGTTGATTCAGTCAGGAACGAAACGTGGTCATGTGGTCATGTGGCGTGAAACAGTACTGTGGCTGTGTTTGGAATGATTTTTGTTGCCGAAATAGAGCAAAAACAGCCAATATGATGTCTAAAAAAACTAAAGTCTCTTGATATTAACTTCTTTTTTTTATTGAACTGTTGCATAAAATCAATATCGCATTTGTAACCATGCTAAATTTTGAAGAAAAACGGCACTCGTGTGATATTGATTAACTATATGAATTGATATAAATATATACATTTTCTGCAGAGCCGATCCTCCCTAAACTCAAAATACGCAAGCTGCGTATTACTGTTTTTAATAAAGTACATTTGAAGAATGAAAAGTTGGACACCTTTTTTTTTCTTGAGGAGTTTTCACATTAATCGAAAGAAGAAGAGTTACTCTTTTTCAGACAGGCTTAAGAAAGAAAAAAAACCTACCATGATGCATTATTAAAAAAAATTAAAGATACTATACATGTGAAATTAAAACCTATTATACATGTAAAAATGTTAAGTGAGTCATTGTGATTGAACCGAATCATTTAAACGGTTGATTCAGTCAGGAACGAAACGTGGTCATGTTGCTCAGAGGCGTGAAACAGTGCTGTGGCTGTGTTTGGAATGATTTTTGTTGCCGAAATAGAGCAAAAACAGCCAATATGATGTCTAAAAAAACTAAAGTCTCTTGATATTAACTTCTTTTTTTATTGAACTGTTGCATAAAATCAATATCGCATTTGTAACCATGCTAAATTTTGAAGAAAAACGGCACTCGTGTGATATTGATTAACTATATGAATTGATATAAATATATACATTTTCTGCAGAGCCGATCCTCCCTAAACTCAAAATACGCAAGCTGCGTATTACTGTTTTTAATAAAGTACATTTGAAGAATGAAAAGTTGGACACCTTTTTTTTTCTTGAGGAGTTTTCACATTAATCGAAAGAAGAAGAGTTACTCTTTTTCAGACAGGCTTAAGAAAGAAAAAAAACCTACCATGATGCATTTTAGCCATGTAGCTTACATCAATATTTTAAAAGCTAGTTTTTTTGAAAGACACGGGGCAACTTTCTTTAGAGCAATGCTGCCTGGGCACTTTCACAGCATGGGTAACAGATGTCTCTCCGGCCGTGGGCCCTGTGTCTCACCTGGCTGGCCGCTGACGCAACACTGCTCAAAAAGCTGCCCTGTGTATCATCAGCCTATCACTTAATTACTACTTTTATTAACCAAGGAAGCATTACATTTATAATTTATAATTTCATAAAAGATTTCCATTTCCAATAAACACTGTTCTTTTGAACTTTCTTTTCATCAAACAATCCTACAAAAAATGTATGGCCGTTTCCACACAAACTATTAAGCAGCAAACCTGTTTTCAACATTGGTAAGAAATGCTTCTTAAGCACTAGGCTAATTCAGCATATCAAAATGTTTTCTGCAGAATCATGCGACACTGCAGAACAAACAGAACAGAGCAGTAGCGTACGGTACACTATTAAGACTGCTAAAACCTATCCAGCTGGACAACTTGTGTGATCTGAACCATTTAACAACCTTTTAGTTCACTAGCACAGAAGATCCCTCCTCTTAAAGTTCAGCTTCAACTGTTTCCTCTCCACCTCGCAGTATGAGAAATAAAGCTAATATCGCGCACACAAAACATTTGCTTTCTTCATTTATGTCTGTCTCTCTCCTCAGTCTCACCTTTCGTTTGTTTGTCTCTTTGGGAGCACGTATGGGCAGATTGTTCTTGCTTTTCGCACCGATTTCTCTCTTTCCTTTGTTTATTTCAATCCTTTCTGATTACGCTGTTGTCACAGAGCTGTAATACAAAACATGATAACAGAAGACTTCTGCTGTTTCGCAGTAATCTGGACACTCACTCACAGCTGCTTGCACTTCCGTGTTTTGCTTCGAGGGTTATTTCACTACTTCCTGTTCCTCCAACACAAACTGATGACAGCAGACGAAGAACAGGTTCCGCAAGAAGGGCAAAAAGCATGGAAGGATATTTAGATACCTACATGTTTTGTTAGTTGATGATTTTTGATGGTTTTAAAATCTCTCTCTCTCTCTTAACGTGTGAATGACTTAGTCAGTGTAAAGCAATATTTATGACACTACATAAAAATGTATTAACCACACAGGCAAATTTTAATGAAAAAAAAAGACTGCCAAGTAAATTACATAAATTACCAAAATCTTGAAAAAATAAGCAATAATAATCTGCTCTCAAATGTTGGGGGCGTGTCCGCTGTCGGCGCTGAAACCACGCCCCTCGCTCAACTGTCCACTAGCGATGGGAAGTTCGGATCATTTTACCGACTCGGACCTTTGAGTCTCGGTCAGCAAAATTTCGTTCATTTTAGCAAAATACAATTAAAATGTTACGTGTTACTTCCCTAACACGTCTACTACTTAAACGTTGATCACACTACAAACAATACAAAACTATATGCTATAAGAAACAGAAAAGATTAATTAATTGTTTACCTGGGTCTTCAGTCTATGATTAGCTCACCTCAGCTCTTATCTGAGAAGTCTTCATCATGTGACAGCCCCAGAAGCTTTAACCCATAGACTGTATAAAAACATGGACGTAGTGCCCGTGACGTCACTCGTAAAGTAGGCGGAGCCGGCCGTCGCCATCTTGGCAGCGCGTCACTCCTGGATGATGGAAAATGGGCAAAAAGGCCTGGGTGAAGCTGAGGTGCCTGGTTGCTGAAACCAAACCCGTCTATAGTGGCAGCAGTGCTGCGGTGCAAACACAAAACACCATAACTTCGTTTTTGGTCGAAATGAGTTATTGATCATTTTGGGACATATATGACCTCCTTTATCATGTGTATAAGTATCTTGGAGAAAAGCCCCGGAGAAACCAAGGCAGAACACAATTACTGCTCTGCGACTTTGTTTTAGAACGCTCAAATGAAGTTACGGTGCTCTGTATTTGTTTAGCCGTTCGTCAATATTACTGTGCCAGCCTAGAGTTATACGCAGGGCCGCATTAAGACCTTATGGGCCCCGGGGCTATGACTTACTGCAGGGCCCCATATTACAAATATAATATACAGTATATATATAGCTTTACATTTTGATGCATTGAAATTTCATAATTCTTGTTACCAATTTCAATATTTAAAAAATAATAATAAAAAAATAAAATACTAGCCTACATAAAAACAAGCTTATACTTAAGACAAGTAGCTAAACAGCCACAAATTACAAAAAAATAGACCTACTTGAAACACTTATAGCAGGGACGTGCACAGACATTTTGAGGGGCAGGGGCTCAAGTAGAAAAAAGGGCACTTCTCATATTTATTTAATTTTTTTTCTAAACAAAACGTTAAATATATTAGGGGTGTGCAATATTGACAAAAATAATATCTCAATATTTTCTTGGATTTTATTGATAATGATAATTAGACTATATTTTGGTGAGTGTGTTATTGTGCTGATATCTTAAGGACTGCCGCGGACAGATGACTCCTGAAGATTTTGATATTCTTCATATTCTGTGGTGATCCGTTCACAGCAGTGATAGAAATTAATCTTTTCCAATAAGTTTAAATTGATTTTAAAATTACCTTTATAAAGCCCTTTTTTTCTAAATGTGTGCATCATCTTTTCAGTCAAATTCTTAAATTGAATCAGTGAATTAGAATAATAAGTCATTTGGGCTGTTACCAAGCAAATTAAATCAGTATTGACAAAATTAATCTTTTCAATGCAGAGGAAACAGAAGCTACATCTGAAGTGGCATTTAGATGCGTTTACACACTGTTTAATGCAGGACATGAATGCATTTAACCTGCAGTTACAAATTTATTAATACTGTTAAACATAAAACGTTTAAACATAAAACGTTGAATACTAATATTTGAAATTATTTTTTTTAAATGAAAAGATACTTTAAATGTGACATTAAAACCACCAGTAGGTGGCAGCAAGTCACTGTTAATAAGTGAGTCATTGCGATTGAACCAAATCATTTAAACAGTTGATTTATTCAGGAACAAAACAGATGTTCTCATGAAATCATGTTGCTCAGAGACGCAAACTGGAATTATTTTTGTTGGCAAAATAGAGCAAAAACAGTCAATATTGTGTCTAAAATGTAAGGTTCTTAATATGAAATTCTTGTTTATTGACCTGCTGTATAAAATCAATATCACATTTGTAATCATGCTGCTTTTTGGTGGAAAAAACGTCAGTCTTCGCGTGATACTGATGAACTATTTGATATGATATAAATATACATTTCTACCCCCATGTCTTGAATTTTGTGATCTCATGAAATCATGTTGCTCAGAGACGCAAACTGGAATTGTTTTTGTTGGCAAAATAGAGCAAAAACAGTCAATAGTGTGTCTAAAATGTAAGGTTCTTAATATGAAATTCTTGTTTATTGACCTGCTGTATAAAATCAATATCACATTTGTAATCATGCTGCTTTTTGGTGGAAAAAACGTCAGTCTTCGCGTGATACTGATGAACTATTTGATATGATATAAATATACATTTCTACCCCCATGTCTTGAATTTTGTGATCATTCTAAATGCATTTTAATAAACTGAATCATGCAGTGAAAGAACGCGGACTGGTCTAACCTCAGGGATTAAAGTTTTGTCGCTACGACGGATTTCCGTCAGTTCATAAAGACTGTCACTTGCTTCATTCCTGAATGATTCAGCTGTTCGAACGAATCAATTGAATGAATGATTCAGTCATAAAATCAGTGACTTGCCGCCCCCTGCTGGCGGATTTAGTTTAATTTTTAGCGTAAAATTTCAGTTATTTCAATCATATTTCTGTATTCAAAATTGTGTATTTAAAACATTAATCTCCACATGAATTTATGAATTTAATTGCACTCATGCTACCTCTAAGCCTCATTAAACGTCTGAAAATGTACCTACAAGCCACTTTTGTGTTCTTCTGTACCACCTCTAGTACAAATTCATTTATTAATACTAATTTATTTTAATTTATTAATACTAGATTTTTTATTTGTTTGACAGGGAAAGATGTGCACAAACAGAAACACACAATATATATATATATACATATATATTCATTTATTAAAAAAATAAAAATAAAAACACTCCCCAGAAAAAAGGGCACTTTCTCTCGAGGAAGAAAAAGGGCTTTTTTATTTGTTTGACAGGGAAAGATGTGCACAAACAGAAACACACAATATATATATACATATATATTCATTTATTAAAAAAATAAAAATAAAAACACTCCCCAGAAAAAAGGGCACTTTCTCTCGAGGAAGAAAAAGGGCTGGTGCTCGAGCCCCCTTTGATGTCTATGTGTGCACGTGCCTGACTTATAGCACTGAAAAAGAAATTATATTGTATAAAATAAATGTACAAATAAACTGAATAGTCTTCACTGTCTAAATTCAATATACATTCTTATTTATTTTACAAAAGTGATTTGGTCAAGGACAGTGAGTGATTTTCTTTCTAATGTTTAATTAACATTATTGACATAAATTTTAACAGCAGCTAAATTAGGCTGCTTTAGAGGAATAGCTCACCCAAAAATTAAAGGTCTGATGTTGTTCTAAACCTGCATGAGTTTCCTTCTGCTGTTGAATGTAAAAGTATATATTTGGAACAATACTGGTAATCAGACAGTTGCTGGGCCCCCATGACTTCCATAGTATGAAAAACTAAATATTTGAGACAGAAAATGACCATTAGCGTAGTATCATCAGCGTATTGAAATATTTTATTCTCCCCTCCCTCTATGCCTATCCCTTTTATTCTCCCCTCCTGTTTTACCGTTAATCCCAGTGGTTCTGCAACTAAAGCATGTAAAAGTGCAGACAACGGTCAAGCCTGTCTAATTGATCTCATTAATTTAAATCACTATTAAAAACCCATTACATTTTACCCTCCTTACAGAACCTTTATATAAAATCTTAACCCATTTAATAAAATTCCATCCAAAACCAAAACTCTTTAGAACCCCAAATAAAAAATCGTGCTCTACCCTGTCAAAAGCCTTCTCAAAGTCCAAACTGATTATAAAACCATCTTTCTTCTTTTCAGTAATATATCTTCTCATATATTTTATGCTCATTGTTGTATCCGCATTGTCTCTTCCTTTAAAGGTCACATATTTTACACCTTTCTGGAGTTTTATTTTAGGTTTTGATGTCCTTAAGAATATATATTTGCGGTATAAGTACTAAAAACCATCTCAATATATTTTTACAGCTCCTCTCTCAGGAGCTCTGCTGAGAACAGGTGGATTTTGGCCTGTCTAATTAATATTCATGAGCCTCTCTTCTGATTGGCCTGTTGTGTTCTGAGTGACGCACGGCCAGGCCAACCACAGGTAACTAGGGTCAGCGACGTCACAGCGCTAGCTGGAGGCAGCAAAGCAAAGGGGAAACTGGAGGCGCCCATTCAAACCAGCAGATTCAGCTACATAAGGAGCTTAAAATATCATCTTGTTGTGCTGTTGGGTGCCAGAATCGACGTAATACAGCCTCAAATTAGAAATTTGATCGCATATCTGCTGCCACTGCCAGACAAAAAACCGACGACAGCTGTGGTTAAACGCGATAAAACAAGC